GAAAAGAAGGTATAAAATTAATGGTGAAAGAAACAAAGCATTAAGCAAATAGGTGTTACAATGATTAATTAGTTGTAATAGTGACCGCCGTTGTTCTTTACCAACAATGTTTGATTAATAATTTACTATATATAACACTTTCTATTAGAACCTTCCTTGTTGTCCAACCCATATCATAATATTCCTTGAGAATCGTTTAAGCATATAATAATTAGACCTTTTGAGTTTAGATGTAATTAAGTGTAGATTATTACTTGAAAGATGATAGCTAGTGGAGTGAATTGAAAGCCATTGCAGCATATATTGCAAGTTTGCAACCATGTGCCAAAGATTAGCATACTTAATCATGTTTTATTATGCAAAGCAAACCCAAATGCTGCAAACGTTTATATTAATTTGGAACATGAAAGCATGTGCATGCAAATAACTATTCCATATGGCAGTGGAAGATCCTAATTGAAGGATTCTAAGAAATTTGTATTTTCATAAAAAATTTAAAAAAAAAAACTTGTAACTCAAATGATTAAATTCATTCTAGCAAGGGAAGGTCCTAATTAAAGGATTACATTTTCGGTGGGCAAGAGGCTTGTAGACCAAGTAATTAATTTGAAGTAGCATAATATAGAAAATAGTTCTATTCACGCACTAATTTTAACCTCTCCCACACTTTTTGTTAATTTTTTGTCATTGATCTTCTTTAATTCATCGATCCGACAACCGAAAATTGAGAGAGATGTATAAGCAGTAAAAATAAGTGTGTAGATATTTCTTCAATTCATTTGATCCAACGATCGAAAAGTATGTAAAAAGTAAAAATGGTGAGTAGATATTACTACCCATATAGAATTGGTTGTATTACCCTAATGCAGGAGCTCATTGAGGATGGGCCCCGTGTGGGCCAAAGGAAAGCACCCAAAAAGCCCATATTGGGCAAGAAAGAGTGGAAGGGCCCCATGCGGCCACAAACAAGAAGTTAACAGTGGGAAAGAAAGGGAGAGTACCAAAGGAAAAATCACGTTCTCACGTCCACTTCTTTGCTTTTTTCCGCCCTTTGTTACTCACGTCCATTTCTTTGATGTTATAGTTAGACCCAATTGGATAACAGGATAAGCTTTTCCCAATACGCTTTAATGTAACACTGTTGCTTCTGTGCATTTTGTTATATTATATCTTTCCAACCCTAGCTCACGAGGATGGACCAACAAAAACATAAACATTCCGATTATACAATATGTCTGGACGACATAGTTGATGTTTCATATAATTTAATGGTATAGCACGAGTTCATTGATAGCACCATTCTCACATTGAACAATTGCTCGAAAGTGTAGTTGTGAATTGCTAGGAGAAAAACTCGGCTATTCCGGATGTATGCCCCCGAGAGTCCCAAAACATTGTTTCAGTTAAGTTTTTCTTCAGTTGAACTGTATGTAGTGAATTGCTCTAGTGGTTATGATCTCACTCTTCAACCCAGTGCATCCTGAATTTACTCTTCTTCCTCATTTCTATTGGGGGTCAAATGACATGAATCTAACTTAGCAATAACAATGGCACCGAATTTGTAGCCAAAACTTTGTAGGGAAAGGATACTCTTAATTATCCAACAGCAACAACCAAAAGAGGTCTTAAATTTAGCCCATAAGGGTCTAGGATGAGAAAACTTAATACACTCACATGATAACATGCATTTTTCTCAACCATTTAAAGTGGGATGATGCTCACTATCTCATTGGATACTATAGATTAGTTTGATTTAATTGATTTGAGACACAAATTTTGAAATTTAAACTAATCTAACGACAACCAATGAGGTGATGAGCGTCATCCTCACTTTAAAGAGTGAGCAAAAGTATTATTCCCTATAAGTTATATCAATTGATAAGAATAATATATTTATAGTTTAAAATAGAAAATTGCCATAATCCATTGAATGTTGAAATGTGTCGGCCCTATTATCTGGTTACTTTCAATTCATCCAAAGCATTGAACTAGATAGAGAATTTTATACTTTTCTAGTGAACATGCATCATCCAAAAATTGAAATCCACCTACTTGAAGAAGAATAGATGTACACATAAACCCGGGGAGGGCGGTGCTATCCACACATCTCTTTTTACCTTCCACACACCTCTTTTAATTTTTGATCATCAGATCAAATGAATTAAAGAGAGTGAAATGACATAAATTAATAGACGGTCGTGCAATGAAAATCAATGAATTCTATAGTCATTTAATAAACAACAGACTTGATGATTCCTCCTCCTCCTACCATATATTTGCCAATATAGGGGTTCCTGCACCATGAATTTTCCAATTACGGGTCTGTGCTTTCATTTACCTGGCTAAGGGGCCATGGCTAAGCTTTAATGCATGTCTACTGGGTAAATTGCAGTAAATTTAAATTTCAACTTCTGCGAGAAAGCAAGTAGTCCCAGTTAGTTAAAACCACTGTAACAAAGTAAAGAACCTACTCTCTCATTTGTAACAACAATGTCTGTCAATAAATATTAGGGCACGTACAACTAAATTTACAGGCTAACATCTCAGCACATAAATTCTCAATGAATTGGCACTTGTGTTGACAGGCCGACTGATAAGGCGTAGTGGTTGCACCATCACTGCCAACACAAGTTGTTGCGAAGATTCGACACTAATTCATGTTCAGTTCTGACGTTTTATAATCTAAGCACATTTTGCACATTCAGCAGCAATCCACCTTGAAAGCAACCTATTCAGGACTACTATACAGAAGCCTAGCTCAAAACTTCATGTGAAATGTTTCCGCAATTCACATTTACCGCTACTAACGGACTTTCATAACTACAGCTACTGTTCTCTGAGCCAGACTAGCCAAATAAACCAAAAACAAGGAACTCGACCATATACAAAATGAAAACGAATACTTGATGCAATCAACTGCTGTAATCCTACAAAGATTTGTTTCCTCTTTATCATAATGGCAAGCACTTAGAAGTTAGACATTCTTTCTTTCGCACTATTTCCTGTAGCTTCATGAACCGAGTAAAATATTAATCTTCCATAGTCGATTACTACTACAAATATTGACATATCCCATAGCAGCATCCGATATATCTACATCCATTACACAGCTTTTATATTTTGATTTTGCTTAAATGAAGCTAGCAATCTCTCTTGAGCTTTCAATCGTCAACTTATGATGCACTAGTTACACAGAGTCATTGATTCTAGCACTCTCTAGAAAAAATAAGACAAATCAACAATTAAGTAAGAGAGCTACTGAGCAGGATAAAAGTACAAGTCAGGTGGATCAATGTAAATATCAATAGATGAGCCTACACTTGTGTGAAAAATATTGAACACTGTGACAATCTAATTCTCTAAACGAAGGTCAAGCATGTTGATATTAACATTTAATGGAAAATACCGGAAGATAGATAACTGAACTGGAGTATTGTACACAGTGATTATTAAAACGTGAGACTAACTGGCCAAGAATTGCAACTTACGTAAGTATCAATACATCTGAGTCCAGCACACACAGTGCATCCTTCCCCAGCTAAGCACTTGTTTCCCTTCTAAACTCTGGCGTGGTCAACTGAAAATTCTTTTCAGAGTATATACTAATATGGAATCTGGAAACTGAAAAAGAAATGAAATTGTTTGACCGGTTTCTAACAACAAGATTCTAATCTGAACCTCAAAACCGTTAACTTTCGACATATAAACTTCAAGGCACCAAAGGTTATCCACGTCTACGGTACATGAAGAAACATATAGAATCAAAAGTTACTAATTGGTGTATGCTTTTCGCAGATGATATAGTTCTAATAGATGAAACGTGGGAGGGAGTAAATGTGAAGCTTAACCTTTGGCGAGAGTGTTGGAATCTAAAGGTCTTCGCTAGAGTATATGGAGCGCAAGTTCAGTGGAAATGGAGATCCTAATGAGATAAGGGTGAGGGTTGGAGATCAGGAAGTACCAAAGAGTGAACGCTTTTGTCACCTTGGATCTATCTTGCGAAAGAACGGAGAATCGAATGGAGATCTCAACCATAGAATACAAGCTGGATGGATAAGTGGAAGAGTACATCAAGTGTATTGTGCTACCGTCGTATGCCAATAAAGCTTAAGGAAATTTTTTTATAGGAGGGCAATAAGGCCATCAATATTTTATGGCACAAAATGTTCGGCGGTCAAGCATCAACACGTGCAAAAAATGAGTGTGGCGGAGATAAGAATGCTTTGTTGGATGTGTGGACACACGAGAAAGGACAAGATTAAGAATGAGGATATCCGAGGTAAAGTAGGAGTGGCAGCAAATGAAGATAAAAAAGGTCGTACCCAGCAAATGAAGATAAGATGAGAGAAAATCAGTTAAGATGGTTTGGACATGTTAAATAAAGACGTACAGATGCTCCAATAGAAAATGAGATGACAGAGACTCAGTGCAAAAGGGGTAGAGAAAAACTAGGAAGACTTGGACAGAGACCTTAAGAAAAGACATGGAATATTTGGCGCTAATGCACAACTTGGCGCAAAACCAAGCGTAGTAGCGTTCTAGGATTCATACAGCTAACTCCACTTAATGGGATAAGGCTCTATTTTTGTAGCATTAAAAAGTTACCAATTCACAGTATGCGAGTATCATATAGCCATCACAAAGTTCTTGTAAACCTAATTCTCTAATTTCAAGCTTAGTAGTCTTAGACCATAGCCTATCCACATATCATCCAGGTAACAAAATTCTATTACTTTAATTGAAGGTAGCATGATTCCTTACTACTGGTTGCTTGATACGTATTAGGTATTGCACAACCTCTCACTGGATAAAAGGGTATATTTGTCATATACAAATCAGCTCCAATATTTCTTTTCAGCCAGATACAGATTTCACTTCTCTGTTACTGGTTATGGAGGCAATTGCAATGGCAAGTACAGAAAGTAACTTCAACCAAATATGCCCGATTACCCGTAGGCTAACATCACAAAGGAAGGTAACATGGCTTTGTCACCAAAATATAATACAACGAAGGAACAGAAATTAGGATATATACCAAATCCTCGGATCATGTATTGAAAGTTATATGCTGACTCGGGTGCTATAGAAATTACAAAACAAGACCCGAAGTTTACATGTCTGCGAGAAAATGAACAATATCTATCACTGATTAACTCAATTAGAGGTCCCTCGGTTATTTCATGCACCAACAGCACTTCAAAATTCACATTAAACAAGCTAGTCTCAGGTTCTCATTTTCTTCCTTCACAGTTTAAGCATTTTGAGCTAAATTACCATTGCTATGCACAGTGTATCAATTTATAATTTGACTACACCAATACCCGCCCCTCCATGGTGTGAGGAATCTCTTCATTTCTCATCAAGTCCAATCATGCAATGACCACTGCCCAGCAAAGAGAGTCACAAAGTCAGGAGGAGGAGCGCACCTGACATGAGCAATGAGTTATTTGACAGGACAATGGCAGGGTGATCTTGACGGGAATGAGATCCTTCCTCACAATAATGGGCTAAAACCCACAGCTGCAGCCTGCTCTGTAATCAGCACAGATTTAGTTCTTAGTTCAGCAGAAACTTTGTCTTGAGTATCTCCGGTTAAGTTGTTAACACAACGATCAATGCAGAAAGATAAGTAAAGACGGAAGTAACAGCATATTATTGATAAGCAAATCTTCAACCTCTAGTAATAATTTTCTGAAGGTTTCTGATCACGACCAAACATTACATTCTAGCTGGTCTTTATAGTTTATACAGTACACTGCCTGATTCTAGTATCAGAATAATAGTTTATACATGCAAATTACTTGTGATTATCATTGTACAAGTAATATGTGATATCAGTCTCAAAAATAAACTCATAAACTTGAAGATGAAATATTGCATGCCATTTTAGACATGATAACTCTTGGAAATGGGATATAGGTAAGTTTCAATTTCTACAAAAGAAAAACAAGATTACTTGTGCGAGGCCAGAGCCTGCAAAAACTCACACACATATATGAAGCATTCTGGTATATCTAATTCCCACATAGATAAACCATCTATAGCTCTTGGATTTCAGGAATTTTATTGCATTCACTATGATGTCAAAGTTACAAAATTCTGAAATAAAATGATGCAAAAAATTGCGATGGTGAAGAAAATAATTCCTGGCTAAATCAACAGGAAGAAAACTAACTGTAAGAATCCAGTTCTGCAAGCTGATAAAGTGGTATGGACAGGGAGTGGACAAACATCTTAAACATGCAGTGTAGACTCCACAATCAATGTTGTAAAAGGCGAAAGCGAAGCCAAAGCCTGTCATGGATAGTCTTGCCTAGGCGATAGGTACCTAAAATTATTATAATAAATAAATATATATATATACACACACACACCTGTAAAATGTAATATTTTGTAAAACAATCAAGCAAGCATGCCAAGCTATCAAATATTTGACTATTATTATTATTATTATTTTTTTTTTTGAATCTAGTGTCTCCGGGTCTTTGACCCGACTACTCACTAGGCCACCCGCCTGACCCCACAACATTTGGTAGGCAAGAAACTCTAGCAATTGCGAGGTGGGTACCTTGAGAGGTGTCGAACCCCAGACCTCTTGGTAACAAACCAAGGGCCTAACCATTAGACTAAACACTCTTAGGTATTTGACTATTATTATTATTTCTCTAATTCACATCATAAAGTCATAATAAACCAATAGAAACTAAGTTAGAAACATAAAATTAGCATGAACGTTGTAAAAACCCAGCACAAAACGACATCTTTTGGATTTGGGCTATTTAAAAAAAATTAAAAAATTCAAACGCCCAGGTGGGGCCTCGACAACTCCTCAGGCGCCTAGGCGCACCTCCCAAACGCCTAGGCTAGTCTATAGCCCACTCCCGCTGGGGCAGAGGCATTTTATTGATATCCCCACCCAAAAAACCGCCTAGGCTAGTCTCAATACTAGTTTTTCAAAATATTGCTCCACAAAGAGAATAAAAGAGACCTACACGAATTATAATGTCTAATTGAAGCTTTCCCGTCCAAGATTCAGAATAACTAACACAGTTCTAGATTAGCACGAGTATCACAGACTACAACTTGAGGTGACAAGAAAGATACAACAGCTTTAAGCCAGAAACTCATAATCCTTGACCTTAAATCTGAGGATGGGCTAGCGTATTATAGCATGCAGTAATATGAACATGCATGAGGAAAACAAAGCTTGCGGTAGTAGTTGTTTCTAGCATTGAACATGACATACATATTTATGGAGGGTACAGGATGGACTGCAGAACCTGCTCCTGTGGACTTCCTAATTACAAACCTACTCTTTTTGGTTATTATAGAGAAAATAATATTACTTGGGACATAGGGACATAGACCTAAAATCATGTAAATCACTAGTACAAATTCGACATAGACCTAAAATCATTTAAATCACTAGTACAAATTCTTTTGAAAAGAAAAAAATACAAGAACAATAACTGTAACATTGAATAACAATATTTGTAAGCTGCCAGTAAAATATGGAAGATCAAAAGTAAAAAAGACAAGAAAATGAATGCCAACATTCATTTGAGAAAACCAAACAATAATACAAGAGATAAAAAGCTGATGAAATACGGAAAGCACCAGCATACAATAAGCTATTAAGACATTGTTCATACAGTTTTCAATAAAGGTTTCAACCATAGGAAATTGCCATTTTACCATATGCAAAATACTGAAAACTAGACATTGATATTGCCAAAATCATAAGTTTTAGAGAGTACATCTAGGTAGAGTCATTCCAAGAAAGCTCCCCCAACCAATATGTGATACTTGAACCCACAGCAGCTTACCAAATTCGAGAGAATCAACATGGCCTAGATGTCCCACTATTGCAATAAGTACTGATCAGAAGAGCCACTTAACTAAATCCAGCACCCATTTCCTTCTGTTTCAATTCTAATATCATACGCTCATTCTCAAGTTTCATCCTCTCATTTTCCAACCTCAGCTTTTCCAGTTCATGGTCCCTTTTCTTGCTAAATCTTTGCCACTTCAAACGCTGCTTCTCCAATTCTAACATCTCAACTTGAATTTGTAGCTTCTGTTCTTCTAACTGAAATGAACGCGATTCAACCCACTGCTTCTGTAACCAAACAGCTTTTGTACCATCAGGTAAAACTTGATTCATATCAGGTTGGGGAAGAATCTGGGGGTGAGAATAAGAACTTTTGTTACTGTCTTGGGAATTCAAAGAACTCCCAAAGTTAAAATCTTCACGGCCCTGGCCTTGTCTCAACCTCTTTACAGAGTCCTCTGAAATGTATATTCCCCTGTTATCTCCACGTAAAGCATTATTTTCCTCAAAGTCGTCATGCTCGTCATTTTCCATATCTTGATCATCTTCATCAAGATCATCATGGTGGTGCCTTCTCAGATCATCGTTGTCAGGATCATCTCTTTTAAGTGCCCTTTGTAAAGATTTCTGCAAGGCTGGATCGTGAGGCAGATGCAAACGATTTCCATTATGATACGAACACATCTCCTCATAAAACAAGTGCTTCGAGCTTAATATTTTCCTAACATCGTCTTTTTCTTTCTCTGTTAGGTACTCTATCACATCCAAAAGCGCAGGGTTCTCAACAACCTGGCAAGAAGTGCCCCTCCCAAGCATATCGTTAAGTTTCTTATACCTTTTGTTAAGGTCATTGAATTTATCTTCACACTGCTGCGGAGAAACATGATATCTTCTTTCTGCCATGACCTTGGAAACAGATTTCCACTTTCCCTTCTTCTGTACAACAGAATATTTCCTTCTTCCCCCGCTACCGCAATCTGAACTTGTATCCTCGCCTATATATGACACAGCAGTAATCAGAAGCTTCACCATCTGATCAGTCCACTTCACACGCTGCCATGGCGACCCCTTCTTCCCTTTACTAGCTTCAGGGTGACCATCAGCACCATCTTCCGCATAACTCGGCTCATCCTCATCACTTGCCGAGTTCTTGCCTCTCTCCCCCTTATTGTAATCCACCATGGAAATGGTTTGATCACAGTGATGCATGGTTCCCATTTTGAGCGGAAAACCTTCGGGAATTGATGGGTGGACCAACGACCCTTGATGAGGATGAGGAAGGTGATGGTGTATGGTGTGTTGGTGTTGGGTTTGGTGATGACCCCTCATTGATCCTTGCAAATCAAGCCCACCAAACGAAGCCCCGCCCGGAACCAAACCTCCTCCTCCTTGTGATAAATTCCCTTCCATTCCTTAATCCTCACTATTAACAACAATCACAACAACAACTTCTTCATCCTAGAACCATATTCTACATCTATTCACACGCCTCAAGCACTCAGAGGTAAAAATCAATCACCTTCCTTATCAATTTTTGAGCTTTTCGAGCTTTTTCAACCCCCAATTCAACTACCTGAAGCTACTTACAGTCTTACACCATCAAAGTATATGCATGTCCAATTCCCACAAACACCATAACCAAACAGAAACCCATTTCCTAAAATCCAACACCAATCACAGATTTTTACCAACTGAATAACAAATTTATCCAAAACCCACCAACAAAAAACTACTCAAATCAGCACAAATTCAAGGCAACAAGTTCCATAAAACGAAACATCATTCTTCAAAGATCAAGAACACAGAAGCAAAGCAACTTATCTGCAGAGAGATGCCCACACAAATCTGAGAAGCTTCCAGTAATCGAGCCAAGATTCCTGGGCAGAAGATGACGAAGAAACACCTGCTATCTGGCTCACACGGGCATAAATAAATACAAGGGGTTGGAACTTGGAACTGTGTAACGTTATACCCCTATATAATAATAGTAGGACCACATATACCAAATTTTTTATTTTTATTTTTTCCAAATTGTAGGAAGAGTGGTAATATTTACACGTCTTTTTTACTTTTCATATACCTCTAGAGAATTATCTATTAAAAAAAAATTATTCAATTACTAAACTGTTTATTTCTTGTTAAGTTTTTAAAATTAATTTAGATTAACCTTTTTCAATAAAAAATATATAAAATTTATTTTAACCTTTCTTGTTTCAATAATTCTCTTACGTTGAGTTCCTTGTTGTAGTTTGTGTTGGGAAGAAGCCAACAAAGTGATTTGACTTTGATAGGTTCAATGTATGGGATGATTCGGGGGGTGATTCGGGGGGTCCATTAGTCACAAATTTGATAAAACCCATTGTCACTAAACCAAAAAAACAATATAAAAAATAAGCAAATTACATTATGTACCCTTAATTTTGGAAACAATTGCAAACTCGTAAATCATCATTAAATTTGGACAAAGTAAATCCGACCGTGAATCTGCAATAAATGTAAATAGCACAAGATGTATCGTAGCTCACCCCAATGTTTGGGCTACGTCCACACTGATATTGTGTTTCTTAGTGAGGGAGAGAGAGCCTTTGAATAGGAGAGTGAGGCTTCTGAAGGTGGGACCCAGGCCTAAGAATTGGTCTCTCCTAATGAGGAGAGTGAGGAGTCCTTTTATAGAATAAGGGCTCCTCACTTATTACATATTTGTCATTTCCTTTATTACATAATTACATTTGAGTTCCCCGAGTATTTATACGAGATCTAAATATGGAGGCCCTAAGTATGGTACAAACAATAGTCCCCCAAATCTTCAGTCAAGAGAGTCTTTTGGCTGGAGACTTGCAATTCAGTCCATGTGTGGGCTGAAGTAACTAGATGTCGTCTAGAACTGAATACTTGATATGAGGCGGTGCTCAATGTGAAATAATGCTTAACTAGAAGTAGCACATGTTGCGAGGCTGCTCGGCTTGTGGCTTATGTTGCCTTGATTGGCTCTGCTTGTGGCGTTGAAGGTGAGGGAGTCCCTTTTATAGAAAAAGGGCTCACTCCTCAATACATAAATGATAGGCTAGAGTTGATGCTCATGGCGAGCCGGTTGCTCAGTAGGCGGTGATGCTATCTAATGATGGTGAGGGAGTCCCTTTTATAAAATAAGGGTTCGCTCCTCAATAAATAAGTGATGGGTTATGAGTGATGCTCGCGGCGAGGCGGTTGCTCAGCTGGTGGCGATGCTCTCTAATGATGGTGAGGGAGTCCCTTTTATAAAATAAGGACTCGCTCCTCAATACGTAAGTGATGGGCTAGAGTTGATGCTCTCTAATGATGGTGAGGGAGTCATTTTTATAAAATAAGGGCTCGCTCATCAATACATAAATAATGGGCTAAGTCCCCCAAGTATTTTTCATGAGGCCCAGTTGAGGCCTAATATATGGTACATACTTCAAATTGAATCCATGTATGGGCCGAAGTGGCGGTTGTTCGGATGCGGTATTTGTATACCCTACACTGAAGCTTTGCAGGTGAAGCTTTGCTAGTAAAGCTTTGAAGCTGGAGCTTTTGTAAATGAAGCTTTTGAAGCTGGAGCTCTCGAAACTGGAGCTCTGTAAATGAAGCTTTCGAAACCGATTGACATGAGTGATGCTCATATATGTTGACATGAGTGATGCTCATGAATGTTTATGTATGATTGTCATGAGTGATGCTCATGAATGTTTATGTATGATTGTCATGAGTGATGCTCATGAATGTTTATGTATGATTGACAAGAGTGATGCTCATGTATGTTTATGTATGATTGACATGAGTGATACTCATGTATAATTTTGGAGTACTGAACATACTTTCGATCACCTAGTGGGTGATAATAGGGGCAGGTTGCCGAATAATTTTGGAGTACTGGGCGTACTTTTGATCACCTGGTTGGTGATAATAGCGGCAGGCTGCCGAGTAATTTTGGAGTACTGGGCGTACTTTTAATCACCTGGTTTGTGGTAATAGCGGCAAGCTACCGAATAATTTTTTGTAGTATTGGACGTACTTTTGATCACCTGGTTGGTGATAATAGAGGGCTTGGCTACCGAATAATTTTTTGTAGTACTGGATGTACTTTTGATCACCTGGTTGGTGATAATAGAGGGTCTGGCTATTTTGGGCATATGGGCCTTCTCCCTCCACATAGTATTCCAGCCCATTATTTTGGGCTTGCTATTTTTTATTATTATTATTATTACCCTCTTATGGGGTTTATATAGATATCTCCGAAATATACAAAAAATAAATCACATCATTCAAAAACAAGAAAAGTAAATCACATCATTCTGGTGGGGTGTTTATTCCTTGCTTTTGCAGTGTGGGTGTTTATTCTTTGTTTTTGCATATGGGTGGTCGATGGCGCGTCCTCTTCTGTGAGATCCAGAACACATTTATGTGTTTGCCCCACCATCAAACATTACTTTTACTTTCTTCTTTTATTCCTGTCATTTCTTTTTGCTTTTGCTTTTGCTTTCGGCTTTTCTCCATGAGCGACTGCTTTGGATATGTCGATTGATGACATGATTAAGGGCAATATTCCTTTCTCTAAAGTGACAGCTGCTTGGACAGCCTTTATTGACAGAGAGACTTTTGGACGATCTGTTGATGCTCTCCCATTCCCCTTCCATCCCAATGCCACCAATCACCGCCCCCTCCCACACGGATCACCACCTCTTCAAGCACAGCAGCAACATCTCCCTTGATGACATCATAGAGATCACCAAGGTTATGAGGAACCGATCCATGGCCGAAGGAGCTCGCGGGAAACGGTGAAGTAGATTCTCGGAATCTGCGTCTCGGTGGGCTTCACGGTCATCGGCAAGGATCTCCCGGATTTGTAAAAGGAGATCGTTGTGGTGATGTCGAGATCCATCTCGATCGACAAGGGTGTAAATTCAACAAATTTTGCAAATTCTCAACCAAAACTGCACCTTGTTTCTATCCCCAATCTCTTTCCTTTGAGACCATTAGCCCTGAGAAACTGTCCATAGCCATCCACCATAATGTACTATGAGGGTCTATTTATGGTAATATCGTTGCTATCAATGCCGACAATAGCATCCATGACATGAACATAATCAGCTACAGTCCTACAGATTGGCCCAACTGTGTCCTATCTTGGACCGACTGGGACAACTCCAGCTCGACTAGTGAGACCAACGGTTGGCTTGAAGCCTACTACCGAGTTATAACTGGACAGACAGAAGATAGAGCTATCAGTCTCTGTCCCTAGAGCCACAGTTACCATATTTGCAGAGCAGAGCAGAAAAACTGTGTCGGTTACACCAATTGGCAATATAAGTTGGGTGTAATATCCGTCAGCACGTCCCCCACCCTCTTCTTCAAATTCCTGTAATACGTTGGCGGCGGCGCTGGCATGAATTGAAACCCGCCGACGCTGCTCTGGCTCCGCATTTCCCTCAACGTCTTGAATATGTCATCGCTCACCAACGCTAAATGCTGAACCCCTGCACCCTCGTTGTGCTCCAGGTACGTCTGAATTTGGCTCTTCCTCTTCGTCCTGTACATCGGCTCGTTCATCGAAAACAGCACAATCTCCTTGTTGTTCGCCAAGACGATAGAGTTGAGTTCACTTTTGCTCGTCCCGATGTCCTCACGGTGAACTCGGGGAACTCGTGGAATCCAGTGAAACCTTTGATGTAGGACACTGCCGATTTGAGATCCTCCACGTTGCCAACAGCGTGGTCAAGGCGGCGGATTCCAAAGTCGATTAGGAACGACGACGTTAGGGATTCGAATCCAGGGAGGAACCAGAGGTGGGGGTCGGGGTCTGTGAGGTGGTTGCGGTCCGTATAGCTGACGTATCACAAAATGACATCATCATATAGTTGGACTTTGGTGATGGTGACGCGGTTATCCAGGAGGATAGGGGCCGCCGAGGGTTTGGCGTCGTAGGCGACACTGGTTGTGAAGGAGGAGACGACGTTCTCGACTTGGATGGAGATGGTATGAACGCCAAGGCCGTGGGTGGCGGAGAAAGCGTGAGAGACGGAGTGGTCGAAGCTGGGGATCGAGGTCGCCGGAGCGGAGGAGGTAGGAATCATGGGTTTGATTGCTGGTGGATAGGCCCGACTTAGCTTCCATGGGCATGCCGAGTCCCCAGGAGAATCAGAAGGCAGCATTGGTGGCGTCGGTGCACCAAAACTCGACGTGGTGGAAGCGGTAGACTTTGAAGCGGTCGGACCGGGGGTTGGTCCGTACAAAGATGGAGAAGCCAACGAGGTTGAATTGGGTGTCGTTTTCCTGGCCCATGATGCTGCTGGTTACGATGGCTGTTATAGTGGTGGTGTGGTTGGGATCTATGGTCATGGTGGTGTCTGCGGGCAGTGGCGGGGAAATTTGGGAATTTGGTGCTCTTTGCAGCTTCTTCTCGTGTATTATCTCCGTGGTTGTGTCTGTGTGGGTTTTTGCAGATCCATGGCGGAGGTGAAAAATTGAGAGAGAACCGACATAGCTTTTCGTGTCGATTCTCATAGACGGCGCCAAATGTTGATGTACAAAACCGAAGGTCTTGGAACAACGTAAATCCGACCTTGAATATGCAAGAAATGTAAATAACACAAGATGTATCGTGGTTCACCCCAATGTTTGGGCTACGTCTACGCTGATATTGTATTTCTTTGTGAGGGAGAGAGAGCCTCTAAATAGGAGAGTGAGGCTTCTGAAGGTGGAACTTAGGCCTGAGAATTGGCCTCTCCTAATAAAAAGAGTGAGGAGTCATTTTATAGAATAAGGGCTCCTCACTTATTACATATTTGCCCATTCCTTTATTACATAATTACATTTGAGTTCTCCGAGTATTTATACGAGATCTAAATACGGAGGCCTTAAGTATGGTACAAACAAGTTGTAATGTCATATACTAGTTAAAGATATTTTAAATTAACCATTAAGTGATGATAC